ATGACATGGTTGAAAGCAGAGCAGTTAGTAGGTATGATGTATATTTTTAAAAGATCACTGGTTTATTTGTCATATCTCAATAAATTTGGGGAGAAAACAAGGTTCACTGGTAGCTGTGCTGTAGGAGGTAGAAGGCAGACTGAAGGAAACAAAAGTGGAACAGCAAAGCCAAACCATAAACTGCTGCATGTATTTACAGATGTCTAAATAGGATTTAAACATATTTTTAATACAAATTATAGAGAAGATGAAAAGTGAAAGTGAAGTCACTCAGTCGTGTCCAACTCTTTGCAACCCCATGAACTGGAGCCCACCAGGCTCCATCCATGGAATTTTCCAGGCAAGAGTACTGGAGTGGGTTGCCATTTCCTTCTCCAGGGGATCTTCCTGACCCAGGGATCAAACCCAGGTCTCCCACATCACAGGCAGTTGCTTTTACTGTCTGAGACACCATAGAGAAGATAGTATAAAATAAATAAGCAATAAGGATGGATTGTACAGCCCAGGAAATTATAGCCATTATTTTCTAATAACTTTAAGTGGAGTATAATCCATAAAAATATTGAATCACTATGCTATACACCTGAAACTAATACACTGTAAATCAACTATACTTCAATTTAAAAAAAAATGATAGAAAGAAAGAGAAATGGCAAAATTAACTTTTGATTGACAATGTGAACACAGAATTATATCAACAATGTGTGTGTGTGTGCGAGTGCACGCGCACTCAGTTGTGTCTGACTCTGCAACCCCACAACTGTAGCCTGAGAAGCTCCTCTAACCATAGGATTTTCCTGGCAAGAACACTAGAATAGGTGGCCATTTCCTCCTCCAGGGGATCTTCCTGACCCAGACACTGAACCTGTGTCAACTGCACCTCCTGCACCACAGGCAGATTCTTTACCGCTAAACCACTGGGGAAGTCCTATATCAACAATAGACCAAACAAAATTCAACAGAATTTTCACTAAAAATTTTTGTTTAATATGAAATTTTGGTGAGGAAATATAATAATATCTTCACCAACAGAGGGCAGTAGTGAATACAGAACATAAGTGTACAAACTGTGATCCAGCTTCATAGTTGAGATCTTTCTCCAAAATTCTAGTAAACTAGAATTGAGGAGCATCCCTGAGAGGTTAACAGCAGAAGCAAGAAACCGAGATTAAGCAAATACATATCTATGAGCAGTTTAAATTATAAATATGAGCAAAAAAAAAAAAATTAGATAAAAATGGCAGAGTATTTATATAGGATGTCATTTCCCTAACTAAATATACCAAACTCAATTCACTGATTTCACTGCTTCTCAGGAGATACCAAAAAATAAAACTAAAGCAAGTGAATAGTCAGCTTCATGTATCTACACATTGATGAAGGGTTTGCCCTTCTGTTATCAACAGGCAAAGCTACATAGGGTTAAGGTCCCAGCCAAGTAGGGTAGAAAAGCTCCAGTTCAAGTGGAAAACAGGGACCCGTACAAATGTGAGCAATCAGTACACTACACCTGGGCACAGAATGTGAAGTTTAGAGGGAAAGGCTACAGCTCAGGAAGCAGCTGAACTTGAAACATAGCCTATGAATAAATGAAGGCAGGCAGCTGGCAACAAGGAGACTACTAACATATACCCACTGCCTATTCCCTGCTGGGAGTTACACATCCCTTCCTTCCTTTCCTCCTACCTCTGCTGTCCCTCTTCATTTTCACTCTCTTTATAGAACTTGATGCTCTATAGATCACTGAAAGGTATGGCACTACTCCATTTTTATCCTTAGTTTTTTTTTCCCTGTTTAGATTCCTACAGTTTTTTCTTTAGTATTTTTCCTCACTGCTTTTCTTCTAGCCTGCATGTTGAATTCAAGATTGTTGAGGTTCCACAGACAGAAGAAAAAAGTGTTTTGACCTCTGCAATCATCATTATGCAAAAACGTATACCCTGCCCACTTCATAGTCATTAGTATAGCTACCGTCAAAATATACACACAGACACACAGAAAATAACAAGTGCTGATAAGGATGTGAAAAAATTGGAATTCTTGTACACTGTTGGTGGGAATGTAAAATGACACAGCTGCTGTTGAAAACAGGATGGCAGTTTCTCAAAAAATTAAAAATAGAATTACCATATGATCCAGCAATTCCACTTCTGGTATATACCCAGAAGAATTGAAAGCAGGGTCTCAAAGAGGTATTTGTACACCCATATTCACAGCAGCACTATTAACAACAGCTAAAGCAAGGAAGCAACCTAAGTGTTCACTGACAGATGAATGGATAAGCAAAATGTGCTGCATACTGATGCATACAATGGACTATTATTTAGTCTTTGAAAGGAAGGAATTTCTGACACACACCATAACATGGATGAACCTTAAAGATACCATGCTGGAATGAAATAATCCAGTCACGAAAAAAGTCAAAATACTATATATGATTCCACTTTTATGTGACACTTAAGAGTAGTCAAAATCATAAAGACATAAAGTAAAATGGAGGGCGCTGGTCAAAGAGTGAGATGTGATTTATATGGACTTATTGTTTAATGGGTAAGAGTTTCAGTTCTACAAGGTGAAGAGTTATAGATACAGATGGTTGTGATGGAGGTACAACATTATCAGTGTATTTAATACCAAAGAACTGTATACTTTGAAATGGTTAAAATGATAAATTTTATGTTTTGTGTTTTACCAAAATTTTTTTAATTGAAGAGGAAAAAAGTATAACCTGCTAAAAAGCAGGAATAAAGGTTAGTAGGAATAAAGAAATAAAGAGTAGTTTCACTTTTTTCTTGCCTCCTCAACCAATACTCCAAACTGGGTATGGCCATGCACTGGTCAAATTAGACTGTTCACCATTTCTTGAACTTGCTCTACAATTTCCTGCTCCACCTCTGCTATTTTCTTAGCCTAAATGCCCTATATGGCTGCCCTTCATTTTAATCTAAAATACTCCATACCTTCTTCAAGAGCAACAAAAATGGCATCTCCAAGAAATTCGCCAGAAAGAGCTAATATCTCTTTTCTGTCCATAGTAGTCTACTCAGAAATCTGTTTCCAAATACTATGCATCCTTGTATTTTTTATACAAGGCTTTATATTAAAATAATCCATGTTTATTTGTGTATGTTCTCTTCTATTGCAGATGGACATTCCATCTCTGCTTGAAGCCTTTTTGTTTAAAATTCATATTTACTTTTTATGTTTTCATAAGAATTAGAGATGTTTGTCCCTCAGTGGTGCTTACAAGGTAAATGAAGACTAGAACTTGATGTTATCTGGGGCCCAGTCTCCGCCCTAAAACAACCAATCAAAGGCCTTTTCACTTCCTACCTCAAACTAATCAGCTGTGCAGAGGCTGTGCTGTGAAGCACAGGCAAATCTTCAGTTCTACTCCCAATACCAAGAATTCTGTTACTCAATCCAGCCTCAGGCAGAGGACTGAGAATAGTGAGAGCAAGACCTAGATATTACATGGCAATGTATTTTAAAGAAAATAAAGGAGAGTTTCCTTAATCTTCTTTCTCAATATACTTCAATACAAAAGATTCAAAATATCCCCCAATATTTCGAGACTGTAAAACACTGTGCTGTTCTTATTTTTCGGCCTTCAGTCCCTTATCCTCATTCCTTTATAAGCCTAGAAAACACTTCAGAAATTCAGGTAAGATGTCAAACTCTCTAAGAAATCTTTTTTTTATCACTTTAAGAGTAACATCTGATAGAAACAGAAGACATTCACTAGCGACTCATCATAACTAAAACTACTTAAAATGTCTAGAATCACATATAAGATATTGCTCCTTACATTTCAATAAGACAATCCATTTACTTTCTGTTCAATAATTGCTTTGGTTTTCATTTTCCAGATTCAAATCCTATAAGAAAAAGCAGTTTTTAAAAAAAGAAACATAACTGCCCTTTAAGGTTTCATAAGCAGTTGTGAAACACAGCAAGTGCAAAAGGATAACAAATGAAATTTCAACACTGATTCTAATCAGTGTAACCATTAGGCTAAATGCTTAGACTCCCAGATCCTGTTTCCCAATCTTTAAAATGGGGGTGTACCATATAAGGTTTTTGCAAGAAACAAACAAAACAGAAAATGTCTAAAAGAATTCCTAACACATAGAAAGCCAAAAAAAATAAATTTCTACAAATTATCTCTTGAGTACACTTCATTACTAGATTCCGTCCTATTGCTAGTTCTTAGTCTAACCCAGTATGGGCCAATGAGGTAGCCATTAGCCACATATGACTGTTGAACACTTGCAGTAGTGACTAGTCCAATTTGACATGTGCTTTAAATGCAAAATATACACCAGATTTCAAAGACTTAATAAAAAAGCTAATATAAAACATTTCATTAATATTTGTATATTGATTACATGGGGAAAATATTTTGGATAAATTGGATTAAATATTAAAATTAGTTTCACGTTTTTCTTTTTACTTTTTTTCAATGCGGCTACTAGAAATTGTAAAGTTGTTCTGTTTGGCTCTCATCGCAATTCTACTGGGAAAGGCTAAGCTACGCTTTGACTTCAAGCTGATGAACGTGCTCTCTTAACCGTACAGTAGACTGCTTGACCGGGGTTCCCTCGGGCTAATCCACCCCTTATCCCGGCAAACACTTGACCACTAACACTCTTGAACACTTCAGCGGCCCAGGAAAACTGCTGGCTTGATCGCTCTTAATATTAAAAAGTATGGAGCGCAGAGATCTGCAGAGGCAACTCGAAATCGTGACCTACACAGCAAAGAAGTGCCTGGAGACAGAACCCGAGTCTTCGGTGGGTGTCGGTCAGCACTGCTGCCGGGAGCCCTAAGAAAGTGAGAAGAGGCGACAGAGAGAGCGCCGGGGACCTGATGGAGCATAACAAGGAGCCCCTGGAGTGGAGATCTGAGGAGGGAAGCCTTTCAGCTTTGGAGGGGACCAGTCGGAGGGCGGCGGGGAAGAGACTCGGCTCCGCAGCGCAGGCTGCAGGGAGAAGCGGTACCTTAAGAATCCCCTTCATCTTCGCCAAAAAGGGGCGAAACTCCTCAGGTGACACTTCCGGATACAGCTGGCTCCGCAGCAGCTCCTCCGTTATGCCCGGGTGCCCGTAGAAAGTGTCCTGAGCCAGGCCGCTCAACAGCCCACTCAGGGACTTGGAACCCTCAAGCTCGGCCGCCATGGTTAGCAGAGACCACGGCCCCCAACAGCTGAGCGCGACAGAGCTACGGCAGCCGAGATGGGCCTAAACTGCTGGACAAACGCGCCAGAGGAAAGTGGCGACGGAGTGCCAGCAGAAGTCGCTGTTGGCAGCTCCCAGCTCTGCACCTGATGCGAAGAGCTGACTCATTGTAAAAGACCCTAATGCTGGGAAAACTTGAGGGCAAGAGAAGGGGCGACAGAGGCTGAGACGGCTGGATGGCATCACTGACTCAGTGGACATGAGTTTGAACAAACTCAGGGAGATAGTGATGGACAGAGAAGCCTGGCGTGCTGCAGTCCATGGGATCGCAGAGAGTCGGACAGGTCGTAGCGACTGAACAATAACAAGCTCTGCAAAACACAACCCTTACATTTGCCAGTGCGAAGCTATCAATTCATTAGGTGGCAGACCCCTCATTTTGCTTCTGCTGATTTCCCTCTTCAACCCCAGGGCCTACTCAGAGAGGAAATTACTCGGTGAAGATTACTTTAGATGAGCAGCATGCTATGCGGGTGGCGGTTTAAGTTTTGGATGGCTGTTTCGCCCTCCAGGCTTTGCCAGTACTTTAACTGAATAGGATCTATCACTCAAACCTGATCTCTGCCTAATCCTTACCTGTGTATATTTTGTCCGCAAAAATTTGACTCTACCTTGATAATATGTCTGCTTGGGTTGTTAACTGCCTTTTTACATACATGGTCTTGTCTTTCCAGGTAGCTTAGTGCCTCTTAGTCAATGTTCCTTTCTATAACAAATATTTTGTAAACACTATCTTTACTAGCCTGAAATAAAGTGCATAGGTAATATAACTTCCTGCCCATATAATTTCCAAAAATCAATGTATTATTCATCAATAAAAAAGGATGAGTTACAGGACTTCCCTGCTGGTCCAGTAACTAAGACTCTGGGTTCCCAATGCAGGGACCCTTGGTTCAATCCCTGGTTGGGAAACTAGGTACCACATGCTGCAATTAAAGAGTCCATATGTCACCACAAAAGATCCTGAATGCCACAAAGATTGAAGATCCTGTGCAGCAAAATAAATAAAAATAAATGGAGCAATGGAGACTCAGACATAGAGAACAGACTTATGGACCCGGTCAGGGGAGATGGAGAGGGTGGGATGTATATAGAGAGTAACATGGAAGCATACATTACCATAGGTTAAGTAAACAGCCAATAGGAATTTGCTGTATGACTCACAGAACTCAGACCTGGGCTCTGTAATAACCTAGAAGAGTGGGATGGGGAGGGAGGTGGGAGGGAGGTTCAAAAGGGAGGGAACATATGCATGCTGTGCTGTGCTTAGTCACTCAGTTGTGTCCAACTCTTTGCAACCCCATGGACTGTAGCCCACCAGGTTCCTCTGTCTATGGGATTCTCCAGGCAAGAATAATGGAGTGGGTTGCCATGCCCTCCTCCAGGAGATCTTCCCAACCCAGGGATCAAACCCAGGTCTCCCGCATTGCAGGTGGATTCTTTACCACCTGAGCCACCAGGGAAGCCCCAAACATATGTATACCTATGGCTGATTCATTCAATGTTTGGCAGAAACCAACACAACACTGTAAAGCAATTATCCTTCAATTAAAAATAAATAAATTTTTTTAAAAAGAATGAGTTACCAATACATGCTGCAACATAGATGAGCCTTAAAAGAATGCTAAGTGAAAGAAGACAACCACAAAAAGCCAGATATTGTATGATCCTGTTTGTATGAAATGTACAGAATAGGTAGAACATAGAAACAGAAAGTAGATGAACTAGAGGAATAGGGAATGAGGAATAACTGTCAGTGGGTTTCTTTTGGGGATGATGAAAGCGTTCTAAAATTAGTGGCTATCATTGTACAACTTTGTGAATATGCTAAACTCACTGAATTGTAACTTTAAAAGAATATGAACTTCAACAGTATGTGAATTATACCTCAACTTAAAATCAATGACTTAACCATAATTTAGGACAAAAATAAAAGGAAAATAAGTTATAATACATGCATTTCAATGTATAATTTTTAGATTTCAGGCTCAGACAATAACAAAGAGGTAGGTTTTTCACCTATATGAATGTCCCTTGCATGGCAAGATATTTTGTATTCCCGGTGCCTATCTGGCCTGGGCCATTCTTCCCCTTCCATAATTGGGACAATCGAAATACCCCTTTCAAAGTAGTGTCATCTTGTTGAGAATCACTGGTCTAGACTACTTTAATATCTACCCATCATTTACCTGAAGTCAAGAGGTATTCTTTGTACTAGAAAAGATGTAAGGTATTTCTTTCCCTAAAGGAATTAATTTTCTAAAAAGCAAATTCAGAGATGCTTTCACAACTCAAAGAAAAGCAAATCTAGAAATAAACTATACATTCTGTTAAGTGTGCCTGCAGGAGTTGCAGAGACTGGTCATGTAGGGAAAAAGTAATATAAGGGTAGTAAGTGGATAAAAAGCACTATTAAGCACATGACTTTCAAATTACCCAGCAGAAAAGCTGTAACCATTTATTTCCATGAAAGCTTACTAACACTAATACTATTCTTTATAATCTTTGCCATCTGATACATGAGAAATATTATCTTATTGTTTTAATATGCATTTCTTAAATTTTGAGAGTGAATGTTTTTTAATCTATATAATTGATAATATAACATTATTTCAAACATGCAACATAATGATTCTATATTTATATGTACTGTAAGTGATCAGTACCATAAGTCTATTTAACATCCATCACCACACAGCTGCATTTTTTTTTTTCCTTGTGATGAGCATTTTTAAAATTAACTCTCTCAGCAATTCTTGGGAATTCCCTAGCAATCCAACGGTTAGGACTCACTTTTGTGGCCAAGGGCCTGTGTTCAATCCCTGATCACGGAACTAAGATCCCACAAGCCTCACAGTTCAGACATTAAAAAAAAAAAAAAATTTACAGTATTACTAACTATAATTACATGTTGTACATGACATCCCCAGGACTTATTTTTTAGTTTATTTTTGACTGCATTGGGTCTTTGTGGCTGTGTGCAGGTTTTCTCTAGTTGCGGCGAGTGGTGACTACGCTTCACTGTGGAGTGCAGGCTTCTCATTGTGGCGGCTTCTCTTGTTGCAGAGCACAGGCTCCAGGCCTGCGGTCTTCAGTAGTCACAGCACGTGGGCTCGAAAGCGCGAGCTCAATATTTGCGGTGCATGGGCTTAGCTGCCCTGTGGCATGTGGACTCTTCCGGGACCAGGAATGGAACCCATGTCCCCTCATTGGCAGGCAGATTCTTATCCACTGTACCACCAGGGAAGTCCAGGATTTATGTATTTTAAAAATAGAAGTTTGCACCTTTTGAACTGTTAAAAAAAATTCAACTTAGTAAATTTTAAAGATCTTGTTACTTTGTTTAATAATTCATGAATAGGGGAGCATCCAATCTAAGCTAGAACGGTGTTCAAAGGAGCTGTACAAAAATGAAAGATTTTTATAGGCAAAAAATAGGGAATGAGAACAAGAAGTTATACCTCAAAACAAAAATCAGGTTGGTTATTACAAGTTCATCTTCCTTTAGGGGATGTCAGGGATCTATCAGGCAGATTACCTAACTAGTGTGGATTAGGCAATTCCTGACTGACTGGTTTAAGATTCCATTTCTTGAGAGCTGGAACAGTAATTCTCAGTTTGGTGATGTGGAGTTTGTTTAGCATAAGTGACTCCATTTGAGTCCTGCTGTCTTGTTTTAAACAACAACATTTATATGAGGACTTTTTATATATAGTGATTGACTGCTTGTATTTCTTCCCATTTTCTTGTCTATCTTCTATAGAGGTTTCTGTCACTTCAGTGATTTCTAAATGCTCTTTATACATTAGTAACACTAATGCTTGTTGCTTATATTGCAACATGTTCCTTAGGCTTATAGAGTTGGATCTATCAACCTGCCTAGAAAAATCCAGAAAGTTAGTCAACAAAATGGTTATGAAGTATATCTCTGAGGAAATGGCTTTTATTTGCTTTTTCTGCTAACTTGACTTTTCTAAATGTCTACAGTGTACGAAGCAGAAGATATTAAGAAGAGGTGGCAAGAATACATAGAAGAACTGTATGAAAAAGATCTTCATGACCCAGATAATCACAATGGTGTGATCACTCACCTAGAGCCAGACATCCTGGAATGCGAAGTCAAGTGGGCCTTAGGAAGCATCACTATGAACAAAGCTAGTGGAGGAGATGGAATTCCAGTTGAGCTATTACAAAGCCTAAAAGATGATGCTGTGAAAGTGCTGCACTCAATATGTCAGCAAATTTGGAAAACTCAGCAGTGGCCACAGAACTGGAAAAGGTCAGTTTTCATTCCAATCCCTAAGAAAGGTAATGCCAAAAAATGCGCAAACTACTGCACAATTGCACTCATCTCACATGCTAGTAAAGTAGTGCTCAAAATTCTCCAAGCCAAGCTTCAGCAATATGTGAACCATGAAATCCAGATGTTCAAGCTGGTTTTAGAAAAGGCAGAGGAACCAGAGATCAAATTGCCAACATCTGTTGGACCACCGAAAAAGCAAGAGAGTTCCAGAAAAACATCTACTTCTGCTTTACTGACTATGCCAAAGCCTTTGACTGTGTGGACCACAACAAACTGTGGAAAATTCTTCATGAGATGGGAATACCAGACCACCTGACCTGCCTCTTGAGAAACCTGTATGCAGGTCAGGAAGCAATAGTTAGAACTGGACATGGGACAACAGACTGGTTCCAAAGAAGAAAAGGAATATGTCAAGGCTGTATATTATCACCTTGCTTATTTAACGTATATGCAGATACATCATGAGAAATGCTGAGCTGGATGAAGCACAAGCTGGAATCGAGATCGCCAGGAGAAG